GTGAAAGAGAGAAAGAGAATGAGTTTAAGCTACATAATCGAATTCCATACGGGCAGCATATCGATTGACGATCTATTGCCAACAAATTCGCGGCAAACACGAATTGTCGGCTGCAATGCGACGGCTATAACGACAAAAGCAACCATGATGATGACGACAACGACGACGAAGACCAATGCCGAAGGTTGTCGTCGGCAGCACCAGCAGCAGCTTTCTTTGGAATTCCACTAATTTCAACATTCTCTCGTTCTCAACATTTCACAATTAAATGGATTCGGTCTACAAAGCGCTTTAATTTATGGCTTATGCTAATCACGTTTCTCACGTGATCTCGATATTATGTGCCATTAAAAAGTTCAACTATTTGTTTCATTTGTTAATGAAACTTATTTGTTAGTTTTCCTCTTGCTCTCCCTCTCTCTCTCTGTTTCTGTCTGGCTTGCTCTTTCATTTCTTCATTCACATTGATTTGGCGACAAGCACCTGAAATGTAGCTCTCATGGCAATATGACAAACAAATTTGTTTGCATGTTCGCACTCTTTTGCCGATTTTCTCGATTATTTCATTCTTTTTTTTCTCTCTCTCACGTGCGTTCATTCTTTATTTTTCGTTACAATGTTGATTTGTTGTACACCACTAATATTCTCGGAATATTTATTGCTTTAACGTTTTTGACGCGGCATGTCCACAGCTAAATCGTATATGTATGTGTTTTTATACGCTCAAATCGCACTTCATTTGCATTGGCTCGTCTCAGTAAATCCATTTATTCACTTGGTTGCCTTGGAATGTTTGTGTGCCGATGACTCGTTAAATGTTAAAAGCGTTTTATAAATATCACCATCATCGTTAATTTCGAAATCTTTTGTAAAAAAAAAATTTGCAAGTCGATGAAATGGAGCGTGCGAAAAAAAGGTCTGTTTCCAATCTGATTTCCGGCATAGAGAGAACTAGCAATTTCTTGTGAATTAAGTTATTATATTAATTTGCTTTTATCTTTCTATATCTGCTTTTAGTCAAATGAAGAAGATTGAATGATAAAACTTTTTTTTCTTAACAAATACGATGAAAAATTATGCCTTTAAATCTTTCTTCTCAGTATTTTGTTGAACTTGTAGCTTGAATGTAGCATATAATACAAACGCATATCATAACGAGAGATGAATGAGTTTGCTTGCAATTATATGCATGCGGTTAAAATCGAATGTCAGTATGAAAAAAACGGCCCCCGAAGCAATATAGGTAGCATGTACACGGCGAAAAAAAAGTTATTGTTTGATGTTGCTATTTTTTTAGTGCCTTCCTGGCCCTGTTTAAATAATTCATTGGGACAACTTCAGCATTAAATTAAAACAGAAAACGACCGTTTTCGATTCCATTATGTATACATTAGGCCAATGAATTCAGTAAAATGAACTCTCTGTCTCTTTCTCTCTTTTGGCAATTAATTAATCCTGAGCAACTGATAATATTGAACAAAATCCACACATCGAATACCCGGAAAATTTATTGACCCATAATTTTTTTGATGTTTCGTTTTGATGTCAGATTCAAACGATCAATTGTGAAAAAATCAGTTAAAATAAAAACCGATTAAATATTCATTGAATTGTGATCGCATTCGAATATTTTTACCTCGTGTGAACATATCGGCGGCTAATTTGAATAAATATGCATTTGTGTTAATTATTCATCGACGTCTCAATTTTTCGTTTTATGTTTATAACTTGGAAAATTTAGTGGGGGAAGCGATAAGGATGGGATCGATCTCATTATTATATAATCCGATGGAATTGTCTCATTTCGATATTGGAATTACTCGCTTATCGCACTGTGCCAAATGGTCGTGAAGTATTTATACATCAATTTACTTTTCAATGACCCGAAAATTGAGTTGTTTTACCATTGTTATTTTTTTTTCAAATTCGATTTAATGCTCTAGAATATAAAAGAGAGCATATCATTGCTCGCTCATTGAAATGTGACTTACATAAGTGGTTCATATCGAAGCGATACTAGATTCTCCGAAAATGTGTCTATGATCTGTTTGTGCTTCGTTTCATTCTGATTAAACCTTTGATATGTGGCGCAATTAGGTGGATTTAATTTACAGTGTGTGTTGGCAGTCGTTATGAGTTTTGTGCATCGTGGATTATAATGTTTATGTTTCGATAAACATGTATTTAGTATGCTTTTTCACTTGTAACATTTAGCTGATCATAAATTCACCTCTACCATTGTTTTATGTAATCAAAACCGCATCATTTGCGGAGCAAAGCAAAAGCTTTGATGATAATAGAATGATTTGACCTAAATGCGTATTTTTGTGATGTTTATTGTCGTTGTGTAACTTGATGTGCCGCTTGCGGTGAATCAAGGGGATAAACACTGTTTTTGGTTTAGTATGTTGATTTTCTTCAGAATTTTACTATTTTCTCTAGTTTCGCTCACTTCTATGTGTCCAAGCTTGAAATGGTAGAAATTCTTTTGATTTTCTTGTTTATTTTTAAATAAAAAACACTATCGAGAGCCCCAATGGATTTTGTCAGAGCACCCCCTACGGAATTTTGCTATGATCCCTGAAAATTTTCACCGTCAACACCTATGGATGTTAGTTGTTCAGCTACCTTCAAGAATTCTCACTTCGTTTGCATTTCAAACTAAATCTCATCACTTCCCTCTTCTCTTTCATCATTTTTTTTCTCTCTCTACTTTATCATTTAGCTACGGTGTATATACGTATGCTACGATTCTGAGAGAGTCAAAGACACTTTCTTTCAACCTATGTTATTCGCTTAAACAAATGGAAATCATCTTCATTTATAAAACTTTTCGCTTGTTTCAAACAAATTTTAATAAACCAATTGGGAAGTTTGTTGTTTTGACTGAATATCGTCCACCGGTTGCATTGCTTTAAACAATTTATGTATAGTTTTCACCTGTTTCCCGGCAATTTGCATTGTTAGTTGTGGTGAATTAAAAAAAAAGATGAATTGATGAAATAGATCTATTGTGAAAAGTTCAAAAGTTGTGAAAATGTCGGGTATATCATATTTCATTCGATGGCCTTTGTAATGATTTATGAATTGTTACTTTTTGATGTTTGTCTCTATCTGTGTCTGCTCGGTATTCAGTTCGGTATCAGAAAACTAGATGTGCATTCCCATTCGTTAGATCTGGCATCTTCACAACATTTGCAAATGTAAGTGAAAGAATGAGTGAATGTGCACAAAAGCAATGCAGATAGAAGAACAACTGATGGATGTTGTTATAAATCGTGTGCCCGGCAATGCACTTTGTATTTGTATTTTACGCCACTTTTGCCCGCTCAATCGCATTTCATTTTCATTTAAGCTTTTGTTATTGTTCTTTGTTTCTCAGTATTCTTTCCATTTGTTACCTCTTTCTTTCTATCTCAAATATATACATTTTCTGTTGATATATCTTTTTTTAATGAATTCCTTATTCATTTTTCTTCATGTTGCTCGCTCTCTGTTGTAGTTTCTCGTTTTTTTTTTTTTTCATTCAAGTTCGTTTCTTTTGTGCAATTTGGTTCTTCCTTTGAATTCTTTGCCATTTGCTACTGTTTCGTTTACCTTGTGCGCGCTGTTATACGTTTTCTGCATGTATCATTTTCGTTTTTCATATTTGTATGCCGTGGCACAGTTCATTATGTGGCAAAAGCGGGAGCGAATAAAAGCGAAAGACAGCGAACATGAGAAGAAGAACAAGTGAATGCCTTGCAAAATGTTTTTCATGTTGCTTTTTGCATTTTCTTTAATTACACGTTATCATATTGTAAAACTCAATAAATTTTCGCAAGCAAAAGCAGACAATACAGACATTTTAAATGTAGCAAATTTGCTCAAATGAAAGAATATTCAGAAGCGGGGGTTGCGATGTTGGAATTCAATTGAATGCCAACCAAACTATATAGTCTTAGCGATTTAGCGACCTGAGGTTGCTAAAGGTAGCGACGACGCCAGATGTTCAACGAAGAAAAAAAATACAACGCTTTCGGTTCTATACTTTTGACGGCCCTGTGCATGCAAACACACCGACAGGGCCACAAGCAAACACAAAATGGAAAAAAGTTCCACAATACTAGCATGAACAGACACACAGAGACCGAACCAAATCTAACCAAACCAAAATATAGTAGCGTAATGAACGTTGAGCAATTTATAAGGAAAATTATTGCCATTTTCTCCATATAATAACCGCGCCGTTTGTGTTCGATTGTCTTTTACACCGAATAAAATGAAAATATACCTTTTGGCCATAAACCATTGCCAAACTCACACACATTTGCAGCTCTCATATGAGAGGAAAAGTGCTCAATTAGACCACAGTCGCACACACACACACCATGCCAAAGTAATCAATTCGAAAGTATCTTTGCAAATATATGTGCTGGAACAATTCAAATTGAACAAGCACAACCAAATTTGTTCGGCTTCATTACTGATTGCGATTATGATTGTGTGTGTGTATGTGTGAAAATGTTACGTTTATTATATTTTACTTCATTAAATCAAATAATATGATCGAATTGGTGGGATGAGAAACGGATGCGCGAATGAGTGTCGGAGAGTGTCAGCTCGGCCCCATAACAATCGGCAATTTATTTGTTTCGAACAAGCACCAAAATGTGCTAACATGAAGAAAAAAAAGAAACAACAACGAGAAAAATAGAACAAGAGCAATCTGCTTATGTTGCACATCTGCGAGAATTTGTATAATGAACTCAGTCGTATAACATTTGCTATTGAGATATATTGTGAAAGTGCACACACACACACACTCTATCTCCTCATAATGTGTGCTGAATCCAAAATAATGTTTCGCTCTTCTCATAGCGAGTGAGCATAATTCCGTTCTTTTACGTCTTGATTTTGACATACCATTTATTCGATGACGTGCCATTTATTCGATGATAATAATAATAATAATAATATATTCACGCATTTTCTCACATGTATATGTATATTTTTTGCAGGTGCTTGCCATCGACCGAGATACGGGCGAAAATGGACATGTTACATATTCGATAAAATCGGGCAAAGGTAAAGCAAAATTTCGTATCAATACCGATACTGGTGTTATTTATGCGGCAAAACCATTTGAATCGGATGCTGAATACGATATCATTGTGCGTGCGGAAGACAATGGACTACCAAAGAAAAGTCAAACCACATTGGTTAGCGTTATTGTGGTCGATTCGCCGACATCAAAGGAAAACATCAATCCACCACAAATTAAAAGTGGCGACCAACATGTTGAGGTCACCGAAAATGATAATCCCGGCTTTCTCGTCACGCTCATTCAGGCCTATGACGAAGACAACGATCAATTGTGGTTTGATATAATCGGTATGTTGTTGCTTTTTTTTAGTTTTTCTCCCCCGTCTCTTACACATTACCAATATCGAATTCAAAATATAGTTCATGGACCATCATCAATATCAAGTGGTAACCGCTTAACCTTATCTACAATATCATACAAAGCGACCCAATATTACCATTTGGTAACCGCATATTGTCATGCCATAATTCGACATTTTGTGACAATACCAAAACACCTGTCACATGTTTATATTTCAATTTGTTAGCCACCAAAACATATGTTGGTCTCTGAACCTTTTAGCTAGTTGTTTTTCTCTATCTCTGACGAGTAATTCATAGATGTAAACATTATTTAAAACGCATTTGCATTTGCATTGAGTTGATCGATATTGGTAATTAATTTAAATTTTTGTTTTTACTTTCCCGATTTTCTTGCAATTAGATAAAAAAATGTCATTCATAAAAAAATGTTTTTGTTTCTTTCATTCTAGATGGTGATGATAACAATGATTTCTTCATTGGTCGTGACAATGGCAACATTTTATTAGCAAAGAATCTTGATTGGGAAAAGAAACGTGCATATAATATAACAATTGGTATATCGGATGGTGTGCATGCGATAACAACGCAATTGTACATCAATGTTATCGATATCAATGATCAACGTCCGGAGTTCAGTGAATCCATTTACACTGTTGAAATATCAGAGAATTTAGCCGAAGGCACTGATATTTTACAATTGCATGCCACCGATTTAGATGAAGATAAAACATTATTCTTTAGTTTGCATGCAGCACGAAATCCATCGTCGTTGAAATTGTTTCGTGTTGATTCGGTGTCTGGAATTGTATCATTGGCACAAGAGCTTGATCGTGAACTGATGTCCGAACATATATTAATTGTAATTGTTAAAGATCATGGAACGCCGGCAAAACGAAATTATGCGAAAATCATTGTACATGTTACCGACCATAATGATCATGCGCCTGAATTCACATCGAAATTAATTCAGGGCAAAGTATACGAAACGGCAGCGATTGGCTCAAATGTGGTGACTGCTTATGCAACTGACCGTGATATTGGCGATAATGGTCGTATTGTCTATTCAATTGTTAGCGGTAATATTGGCAGTGTATTTGCCATTGACAATTCGATGGGTGTGATTAGTGTGGCAAAAGAGTTGGCCATAAATACAATGACCGAATACATGATACAAGTGAAAGCAAGCGATTGCGGTAATCCGGCATTGTTTGCACAAATACCCGTGCAAATAATTGTTGTTATGGTTGACAATGCACCACCAAAATTCAGTCGCACCGAAACGGCTGTCGAACTATACGAAAATCTATCGATCGGTACATTTGTCATGCATATCGAAGCACGAAGCACATCTTCCGTTCAATTTGCCATTATCAATGGCAATATTGATGATACATTCTTTATTAATCCATCAACTGGTATTATCACTACCAAAGATTTATTGGACTATGAAAAAACCAAGTACGTATTGCCCGCCTAGTTCATTTTATTTGAGTGCATTTCGATGTCTCGCTTTTTTCTCTCTGTCTCTCTCTCTCTCTCTCCCGTTCAGTTTTTTTGTGCATGTATGCGCGTGCGCGCTCATGAACTTGCAATTTTTTCCGCTCCATATTGATGATATGCGCGAGGTGCTTGTTTAATTTACATATATGCGACAAAATGAAAGAAAAAAAACGATGATTCTTTCCGACGACCTCGTTTGTTTCGTGTATGTATGCATTTATATGATGCACAAACATTAAACATGCACATCGCATATATTTGTCTAAAGGATAGCGAAACACGCACCGGAGAAGAAAAAAAAAACATTTTGAACACTAACGAAGAGAAACCAGCGAAACTATCGAATGCGAAACGCAATCGTGAAATGTTTACGAATTTCATGAAATAGACACACAAAACACCATTCGCTCGATATTTTACATTTACCTAACTAGAAATAGCCAACATCAATTGTCACTGAAAAATTTAGTAATTTTCATTTTTTCCTCTCTCTTTTTTCTCTTTCTATATTTTTTTTGTTTGTTTTATTGCACGCTCTCGCGTCCGATTGACTTTACATTGAATTTATGCGCGCGCTCCATTCAATGTCCAATGGATGGTGTTTTTCGGATCGTGATGCACACTTTTTGTTCCGTGCCATGGGTTGTGTACACTGTGTAAATGATTCAGATTTTACAATTTAACGATACGTGCAACAAATATGGCTTCCGTGTCGGCAACATCATCAGCTATAATTCACGTTTTGGATCGAAACGACAATGCACCGTATTTTACACAAAAATTGTACAAAGGTGAAATATCCGAATCGGTGCCAATTGCATCATTGATTCTAGCCGTCAACGACACACTGAAAATGGATCAAAGGTTTGTATCAACACAAAATACATATACACACTATCACACACACAGACACACATTCGATTGCAGATAGACAAAGAGACAGATGAAAAACAAAAAACGAAAAATTCGTTCGTTTATTTTCATCTCTCTCCATTTCGAATTTAAGAACCATGCACTGTTATTTGTCACACAATAATTTCAAGCGTGAATCCTTTGTGATTTTGGATTTGGAAAATCGGCCACAGCAACAATTGGCAAATGGGACACAATATCATGCGACTGTTCTGTATGCAATGACACAATGGATGCATTGTTCTACATGATAGAACTGCAATGAATTTTTAAGCATACGTCGCGTCATATATGTATATCGAATGAAAAGCGTTTGTTTGTTGTTGTTGATTTTTTCTTCAATCTTTTTAATTAGTTTTGAGTGAGGGATGAAGAAAAAGAATTCTCATCAAAGAACAAAAAAAGATACTTTAATTGTCGTAGTGAAAATGATGATAGGTAGCCCATTCAATACAAAATCTAGCTTATTTCAAAAGTGACAAATCTTTGAACGCATTCTTTGAAAAAGAAATGAATCAAAGTTTTGCTATCTCTCCAAATAAGTTTTCTAAGCAGTTTTCATTTGCGACAAATCCCAGTTGGAAATATATTTTATTTTGAATTTGTTTCGTAGGGACTGTTTTCCAGGCTTATATACAAAATCCTTAATTTCAATCATACAATCCCCGAACTATTCCCATTTCATGAGTATTATAAACAGTGTATAAAAGCAGCATTTCCTTTGTTATCCACCAAATATAAATAAAATGATTCATGGAACGGAGTCCAAGTGGGTCCATTGGGAGCATCTCCTTCTATTAAGATGAGATACTTTGCTGCTTTTTTTAAGTAACCGAATTTCTTTCAATTCCTTCAACATTCCGGCAACTTTGAGCCGCATTTTCCACAATAGAACAGTTCAATTTATAACTTGCAAAGAATATACATTTTTCTCGTTGCGCGTTCAACAACAACGAAAAAAACTTTTTTTCTCTCGAAAACAATGAATTCCTCTGGCTATTATCTTTGGCATATAATCTTTAAAAATCGTTCTCTTTTCAAATAAATAAAAAAAAAAATACGGAAAGAAAAACAGCAACTTTTCAACACCAACTCAAAAACGCTATGCTTCATTTCTGCCGCGACTATAATCTCACATATCAAACAGCGCACATTCACTTCAGTTCAACTGAAACAATAAACATTCCAATTCTTGTTATGGTTTTTCATGCGAATGCGCGCATGAACGAAGTAAAAAAAAGAGACGAAAAATCATTCCAGCACGTTTTCGTAAATCACTGTTTATCTGCGTTTTAACATCGAATTAAGAGGATGTATGTTCTAAATGATGTTTGAAGAGTGGCTGGCCGAAGTGAGTAGATTTCTAAAAAAAACATTGTAAACGCGATGGATTATTTCGATTCGCCTTTCCTTTTTTTCAAAAGAACACACAGGTCAACATCACTTGTGCAGCAACAACAACAATCAACCAAAACAATCTACAAAAGACGGAATCGAATTCAAATTGCATTTCTCTTTTTCAATTGCAATTTTAAAATTCATTCCTGACTTTGGAGAGATCATCATCGATTCGATTTGGTCGATGCATTTTATCGAATATTAAGTGATGTGAAATGCATGCAAAATAAGCATTGTGATTGCAAATTCTTGTTATTTTCCATTGATTTCTTTCGTTATATATGCATGGTACTTATGATTGAAACTCTTTCTCTTATACATCTTTTTCGTTTTATTTTCTTTTGTTATCTGTTTTCTGGAATACACAGTGTGCCATTAGTAATAAAGGCTTATGATATTGATGCTGGACTCAATTCACATTTGCATTATGATATTGTTGAGACGATGCCACGTCGCTATTTCCATATTGATTCAACAACAGGTGCCATAAAGACAGTGATGTTATTGGATCATGAAAAGATACCATTCTTCACGTTTCACGTAAAGGTAAGTAAGATGCTTTGTTATTGCTGATTTTTTTTTTATTTCTCTTTCATTTTTAAGCCACATAAATATTTTGTTGACCATTTCAGTGTGCAGTTTATTTTTTATTTTTATTTTTCATTTTCGTTTGGAGAATATGTTCTTTGACGTTTATTCTCTGGTTTTTTTGTGCATTCCCTTGTTTCGTTTCGTTTATTTTTTTTACATGTTTTTTCTTCTCTCATTGCTGCTGTTGAAGATTATAAAAATATAAAAAATGTGTAGCACAATTTTTGCACAGAAATTACAGTACTTGTTCATCTCTTGCATATAAAAAAGGGGGGGCTATTACGGTTTGAAGTTCACAAACATGAAAATTTCAGCGACATACTTTATTTGTCATTTCTGTCATGTGTAGCTAATATTTTTCATGGCTACTTTTGAGTTACTATAACATTTATAAGATTACAAAAATGGCTTAATGTACCCATTTTTGCTCATTTGGATATTGCAGAACAACCATAGAGCATACACTTTTGCATTTCATAACTCCCTTCTTTAATGACATTTTACATGGGGATATCGTTTTTTATTCGGTTTCTGTCTGTGGGTAAAGTTGCTGCTGCTGTTGGTATGCGCACGCGATTTTTTCATCATTCTCTGATATTATTTTCTCACACATATATAAAATATATCATTTTAGTGTTTTGATGCTGCTTTTTGTTTTTCATGTCGTCGTTTTCTTCCATTTCATACCTCATTTATATTGCTGTTTACACACAATTTGCGCACACTTCAATCATCGTGCCAAGCAGATTATATACATTAGCTCTTTGTATAGTTTGTGGTTCGTTAAATAAATTTTCTGTCATTTCTGTGACATAAGAAATAAGAATAAAATCGCTTAGCAAATGACGGCCGTTTTCATTGTAGTTTTGCTCCTTGTTACCAGAACAGGCAAAGTCAGAGGAAAAAAATGCTGCTAAACGAAAATATATTCATGCAAAAGACACGACCATCCCCATCAATGTGACAATGAAGATGTCAGCGACGGCAGTAAAAGTACAGCTAATGAAGGGAAATAACTGTTTTAAGACTAACATGTCAACATTTCTTGCCACTCAATTATTTTTCTTGTTTCATTTTCTTCATTTTATTTCGATCGAATTTACCGTTATTTTCGATTTCATGGTGTGTTGTCTTCGATGCTATCAGTGCAATCTCGTGTACAAGTGCAACAACAAATGTTGCTATAAAATCTTAAAATTCAATAAATTTTCTATTATAAACTTTAATACAAATCGCTTGTTTTCTAGCACACATACTCGTTTGCTTAATGTGAAACGTAGTTGATTTCATTCCCTCTCTCTCTCTCTTTCTCTCTCTCTCTCTCTCTCTCTCTCTCTCTCTCTCTCTCTCTCTCTGAGGAGTATATTCTTTGTTATTTTAGAATTTTCACCAGAAAAGATAGAGAGTCGGATACGATTTTTTCAATTTTACATTGATCAAAAATCTCATTTAATTTCGTTTCTCCTAGTAGTACGATGCCATGTTTCACATTAAGCCCTACGGCCAAAGACTGGCTGTGTATTTATTCTAGTTTTTCTTCCTATTTCGTTGTTATCTTTGACATTTTCTCCACTCATCGTATATTTGTTAACTTTGCGATTGAACCATCATCTAATATCAAACCTTTCTAATATATACCATATACATATTTTGAAATTGAGTGCACGCGCGTGTGAACGCTAGCGAAAGAATGGCTCGCAGCATGTGCATTTCGTATGTTTTTGTCATTTGACGAATGGTACGGCACATTCAACTCATAATCGGATCGTTTTCTTCAGTTCACCATCTATTATTTTGCACTTGCTTTCATTGTGCATTTTCCGGCCATTGTCGATTGACCTTTTTTATTGATGCATTCGAATTTGAACTTTGCTTTATATTTCAAAAAATGTGATAATTTATGTTATAGTCAACGATTTTCATTTCTTTTCATTTTATTTTAAATTGTGTCTATTTATTCCGGGCTATTAACCGATCCTGAACGATTCGGGTACTGTTGTAAAGGTTTTGATGAACATGAGCCCTGTCATTTAATCCTTTTTTGCGTATTTTTGACGTTTTTAATCCCTCTTTTACCACTGCGTCGACCATCATAAACCATTTTATTTTGTTTTTGATAGAGACCATGTTTTAAAAAAAACTATTGAATAATCAACTTAATTCTTAACAAGAAATGAATGTATGAATTCAAAAAAAAATATTAAAATTCAACATGTGGTATTTTCTTTGCAGGTATCTGATTTGGGTAAGCCTCGTTTGTCATCCGAAATCATGGCAAAAGTTGAAATCAGTGTCATCGATGTTAATGACTGTCCACCAATATTCACACAAACCGAATACAATGTCACATTGTTATTGCCCACCTATCAAAATGTGGCCATTCTACAAGTGAATGCAACGGATCGCGATGATAACGGCAACAGTAGCAAAACATTACGCTACGAAATTGTTGAAGACAGCAATAAAGATGGTGTATTCGCAATTAATAGCCACACAGGCGTTATAACAACACGGTAAGCATAATTTTAAATGGTTATATAGCAATTGTGGCCCCAAACACACATAGTGTATGCCCCTATTCAGGGACCTTATAAATATCAAGACTGTATGTAGAGTGAATAATTCAATTTGATATATGACTGTGAATGTGTGTGCACGCTATTTATTAGGTCCAGCATAAAAAAAAAAAAAAAAAAGCGAAATACTCTAGACACAATCTAAGTGGCAACACATGTACATCGTTTGCATTTCGTGCTCTGAAATTTATTCCGACAAATTCTCCACCGGATAATGATGGCAAAGAAGCTGCTTTGGCCATGCACAGAGAATAAAAGCCAAAAGAGAGACAAAAAGAAGAGCCGACAAAAAAACCCCAGCGCAGACACACTGTGTATGAATGAGGTGTTTTGCACGCGCAATAGACCATCCACCATCATCACTCCAAAATCGTCCAACGTCAAATAAACCATAAAATGATACCAGTTTCGTTTGGCTATTCACAGAATATTTTAGATTTGCTTCATTTGGTATAATTTTGCATTCATCGTAAAACGCACAACACAAAATTGATATGAAATACGCGTTCGCTTCACTGAGATTGACCACATCGAAAAAGAAATGCGACGATGGCATGTGCCTCCTTTGTCGTGCTTATTTTCATAACCGCATATCGAAATGCTTCAATACCAAAAGTATGTGTGTTTGCACTCCATCTACTGACATGTTTTTTTTTTCGTGTGTATGTGGGAAAAAGACGAACGTTGCTTGTTACCATGCAAATCTAAAAATGTAGTTCGCGTTCGCTCATAAATAAAACCAAAAAGATGTATGTTCTGCCTTCTAATCAGTTTTGTTTTGCTATTAAGGGTCGTGTGCAGAAACAAAAAAATTATGATTACCTGAGATTTTAAATCGTTCATAGGTCAGTCTGAGGCTTCTACTTCCTGGGGAGATCAGCCAAACAATTTATCATTTAATATGGTATTTTGGCGCTTTTTTGCGCATGAGGAATGAATACAAAATTATTCTATTGCTAAGAATGTATGTGCAGATCGTAGACGGAAATGGGGAAAAATGATCGAAAAATAAGCAGAATTAACAACGATTGGCTCATTTTTATCTGCAGTGAAAAGTTTCACAAGCAAAATATATGGCATTTTTTGGTGTTTTCTCTCTCTCTCCCAAATTGAGAGAAAGTAAATATATGTCCAGTTAACTTCATTATAATGAATGACACTTCAGAGTGACTAACCATATATTTTGCCACTTAAGTGGTATCATAATTTATGGTTGCATCCACTGTATGTGTGAATTTTTAATTTGATTACATTGTCAATTGTGTGAAGAGCAACATTAATGCAGTAAATGAATTGAAAATGTGATAAATCGTAAATGTCACTTTGATGCAACATCATTTCTGTTGGTCCGGTGTAACCTTTGTAAATAAATATAATATAATATAAAAGCTATTCTAAAGCTGCAGTCATTTTTTGTGTGTTCGAAAAAGAGATTTTATGGCTTTATACAACCTAGACACAAAATTTCAAAAGCGCCCGTATTGTGTTGGAGTTTTTTTTTCTACCCGTTCTCTCTATATATCTCTCGAGCTCTGTCTTGAATTTAAAATCGCATTTATTTCGGGTTATGAGAGAGTTATGCTTTATGTTGGTGTCATGGTTGTTCGGGTGAAAAATAGATTTTCTCTTTCTATAAATATCACTCTGATTTCATATACATATCGCGTGTACCTGGTATCTGGTTATAGTTTTTGTTGCTTAAATAATTTCGATTTTATTCACTAGTTTCGATTTAAAGTGTAGATGCGTGTAATCGAAGCGCACGCGACATGTGTAGAAATTGGAGTCAGTATAAATAATATCGGTTGAATATGCATACCGATTTTTGTCTATATTTTATCGTTAAGTGGCTTCAATGGTTCTCATCGTATTTTTTTTTGTTCGCTCTCGATGCAACCAGCCACTTTTCTGTCTTGAAGATTTAAACACACGTATGTGTTATTCCGGGGCTAAGAACATTCCCAATAGACACACGTACGATATACGTAACATAACGTACGTATTTACTAACAACACACTACTGAATAACCTTTCTCGCCATTCTAATTATTTATTCTAAGCTCGTTTCGTCGAGCATAAAAAAAAAAACGAAGCTTGAACCGCACCAAGCTCTCGTCGCTTGTAAGAGCGTTAGCATCAGTTTATACGCTGAAAAACAGAAGCGACCGACAACACAGGCGGACGTCGACAACGACAAAAACAACAGCAGCAACAGAGCAAACGAAAAAACGGCACCTATTCGCTCGCTCTCTCGATCTGCAAAATTGAAGCAGTGGAAAACCCCACCTTTTGAATGTGTTATAATCTTTCGGGAGTTTTGGAGTGAGCGTAACTCTCTTTGCCCTGATCCTATGTGTTGGATGGTCCACATTCCATGAGCGGATAGATGCCCGTCTAATTCGAATGCTTTTTGTGCATTTGATTCAGTTAAAAAAGAATAAATTGACACAAATTGAATGAGATCTCGGTAAAATGACCTTTGAAAAAGTTGCCCTACCAGACAAAGAGAATTTTCAGCAATATTTCTTTTTGCCTTTTCGTTTCAAAAAAAAAAAAAATCTTGTGTGTATGTGATGGCCTTTCTCGGTCTTTTCGTCCGTGTGTATGGATGTCCGCAAAAAAACCAACTTCGCACATTAATGTTTTCATTGATATGTCGAATGGCAGAAGTCATAAACTCTGTAACTGAAAACATGAATGACACACATACCGAAATGGCAAACATATTCGCATTTGTACACACTACGTGTATTGCTATGCATGTCATCGTTTTTCACTCAATTGAAATAGAGGGCGAGACAGAGAAAAAGAGCACATTTTCTCGCACACATTCATCTAATATTCAAATATTTTAACTAAATAAAGTCATAACAAGATTTTCATGGATCTGCATATTTTGCATATGCACGTTCGTTATATATTTCTCAAAATGTCGGAGTTTTTGTTTAAAGCTTATTTTCCTGGCATTTGCTTATTATCTTCATCGGAGTTTTTTTCTTCTTCTTCTTCATTTTTTTGTGTATGTACGACGGATAGAATGGCATACATTTCTATAGTTTGGAACGATCCACTGCCAATATTGGCATTAAATAAAACTACAATAAAACGAAACAGATCTAGTGTGGAACAAACTATATTGAAGATGGAAGACAAAACTGAACTTGGAACAAAATCAAAAATCCCAAAAGCAACAAGCACATTAACACACACTCAATCCCTCGCAAAAGTAATGCATTTCGATGTTCAACGAAATATCGATTCACATAGATTTGATTGATACAAATAAGATCATGCTGCTTTATGTATGCTTTAAAAAGTGGTATCGATTTCGCGTATGCACGAACCAATCCGTAGAAAACGGCGAGCTTTTCGATACGTTTCGATTTAGTCGGATATATACCATTTCATGTTCAAAGCCAAATGGCAATTGTGAATTTGTCGAAAATGAATGGAAATGGAGTGTTCTGTGTGACTTCAAAGAAGATCATTGCGCGATTACTGTGAACAATTGCATTAAGCTTTTGCAACGAAAATAAAAAAAGAATAAAACCAACAGCAAAGTTCAAATCTGATTTCAATTGCTAATTTGGAGTTATGCTTTACTTGCGTTTCCTTTAAACGAAACAAAATGGAAAGGGGTGCGAGTAATCGAACCAATGGCAATGACTTTTTACCAAACAGAAATGGGTTTTACTCCGCATTTGTGTGTGTGTGTATATTTTTGTTCTCTGTTGCACATTTTCAAGCACAAATCGAATGTTTGAATCACACAAAGATGAATTGCTTCTGACATCGTTTTGAAAATGAATAAAAAAAGAGACACACATGCTTCCAAAGAACATTTCATTCGCCTCACCCTCTTTTTCATCATAAACATTTTTTTTTGTGCTGATTTCATTGATGCGCTTGTCATGTTCGCATGATGATGATTCAAAAATAAACTTCGAGAATGCAATCGACTATAAAAATGTTTCATCATCAAAGTCAACGCTTGCTTGTGTCGTTGTTGTTGTTATTGAGGTAACACTGCCATTGGGATAACTTATGACTAATCGAATACGTGATGCGTTCTATCAAATAGATTAAATTTCAATAGAAGTGATGTATATGTGTGTGTTCTCCTTTTTTTTTCAAATTCCAATGTATATACACAAACATTGAATGTAGTTCAACGTGGTAAAAACTAGTTAGTTCGCATAGTTGTTTTCGGTTGCATTTACTGTAGTTGTTCAATGAAATCAACTCGATAACGAAGTGATGGAAAACCATTTCGATTGAGCTAAAACACACAGAGACAGACAGAGAGAGAGCAAACGATTGAACTTTTAATAAACTTTGTCAGGAAACTGATGTTGTTGCATTCAGCATACTTGTTATTTCGTGTGTACTGATTTTGTATCTAAGTTTTTTTTTTATCTTCTCATTTCACTAACTTTTTCTCTACATTTTCAGGAATATCGAGCGAATTGGTGAATTTTACAAGTTACAGATTCGCGTTACCGACGGCAAATACACGAATACCGCACTTGTAAATGTTCACGTTGAAACATCGGAAAATTCTGGTTTAGTATTCCAAAAGCCCATCTATGACGGATCAATTTTGGAAAATTCAACAAAAATCACTACCGTTACGGTGGTAAATGTAATCGGTGCTGCACTAAATGAACACATTGAATTCCGTTTATTAAATCCAACCGAAATGTTTCGCATTGGTTTGACATCGGGTGCTGTTGTAACAACCGGCATCCGTTTTGATCGTGAACAACAGCAAAATCATGAGTTAATTGTTGAAGCACGTTCGTATGCGGCATATCGTGATAAACCCCGTGTTGCCCATGTCATTGTAAATGTAACCATTCTTGATATAAATGACAATTGCCCGATGTTTGTCAATTTACCATATTATGCAATTGTATCAGTGGATGCTGAACGCGGTTCGTTGATAACAAAAGTACATGCACTGGATGCGGATAGCTATGAAAATGGTGAAGTTCGCTATGAAATGAAACGTGGACATGGTGAACTATTCAAAGTTGATCGTAAAACGGGTGAAGTGACACTTAAGCAAACACTCGAAGGACATAACAGGGATTTTGAATTGTTAATTGCAGCTTATGATGGTGGCATTACACCATGCTCCACTGATGTTACCGTACATGTTAAGGTATGTTTTGAACACACATTTTTATTTTCGCTTTCTTTTTTTTATGCACTTTATTTTTCTTTCTATCTCTAAAGCCAATTAGAGAATTTATTCGACAAAATACCCACTTGAACTTGATAGAGAAAGAGAATGTTTGCAAGAGAAAAAAAACACAGACAAATTCCATTGAAAAAAAAAATCGTAAAATTCTTAATTTATCATCCACATAAAGATATTGAAATGTTTAAGTCAATAAAGTTTACTAAGTGCAACAGCGATCAACTAATGTAAAAAGCGAAAAAAACGCTTTTGAAACAACATAAACGAAGTCGAGCGAATAAATGTATAGAGAGAGAATAGTACAGTAAAATTGAGTGAAATTTATGAGACCATTGAATGAGGTTATGCTTTAACTAGTCACAGAAAATGTGATGTGAATATCGGCAACAAACATTTACACTAACCAACATTTGATGATGATGATGACGACGACGTCGATGTTGACTTCAACGATGATTTTTCAATTATTTAGAATTTTGTTTGAAAGTTTCATTTACAAACCATTCCAATTATTTGAATTTCGCATTAAAACATGTTTTGTGACTGAATGAGTCGGAAATAAAAAGCTCTCACCGGAGCGATGCCCTCCATTGAATTAAGCGAGTTGATTTTCATATTAGTATCTACTTTTGAAAAACTATTTATGCGGTGGCCAAAATTTATACACGCTATACGCACCCGAGCCCACAAATTCAATTTCCAAGAATCAAAAAAGCTTTTGTTTTCCACAACTGCAATTGAAATATTTATTTGTCGAATTGGATATTACATAAGGAGCGTGTTTGTGCCATTTCGGAGAGATAGAGAGCAAAAGTGAATGGGATGATGTTAGTAAAGTATTGTGTATCGATGTGTAACTTGGAGTCGGCGAATGTATGTTTGTAAAATTGCATTTGTTTCTGGTATGAGATTTTAAGGTTCGCTCACTACTCGGAAACAAGTTCAAGTATTTGAAAATGCTTGAAAAGAATACTTCAAAAGATACACGAAAGTGCTGTTTGAAAGGTCGAGAAAGCTTTTTCAATCTTGATATATACAAAAACTTTCAAACTGAATCGATCGAACTATATATATAATTTTTTTTTATTTTCGAATGGATATTCCAATGGGTATAATTAAACGAATGCATCAAAGTGACCATTACATTGGCTTTCGTTCATTTATTAAGCCACAATATAATCGAATACATTATGCGTATATATAATTTATATGGTGCAAAATGTAAATTTACCAACGATGATGATGAGCAAATGTGTATAATAAACCGCATGGATGAATGTTTTTTTTTTGTAAATATTATTTTCACTTTTTATATTTTTCATTTTTGTCGTCTTGTCTTGTATATATAAAATTGAAATTGTCGCCACTGTTGTGCCTTCATAAAATATTCAACGGTATCGCAGATAGTGTTGCACCACCAATCGACACATAGCCCGGCTAGCTATTACATGCGAATGTGTTTGCGGCTCGTTTACATGCGAAATAAATGTTCTAGCGAAATGTATGTAATTGATTTTATGCGTCACATTCATGATTACATTCAAACCAATTCGAACGATGCAATTCCACATCCATAAACCAATCAACGATCATATTAATTAAATTTTTTATGATGACCACATTAAAATATTCTATAAACGATTGACAACATCGCTTATTTTACAGTGAATGGAGTACAAAAATGTTAACAAACACTCTCTTTTGCCGCACATAAACCGAACGGTTAATGGAATGATTCGAATCATCATATAACTAATGGCTTATGTCAATTGTTTGTTTGGGAGGATATTATATCATTGAGATTTCCGATATTTGATAAGTACATAACAAATCGACAAATATATTACCTCTGCCACTCTCTCTCTCTCTCTCTGGCTCACATTTATTCGATTCAAATAATTTGTCGCGTTCATTTATTTGGTTGATTGAATTTGCCGTTACTTAGTACATGTTCCAATTTACTTGTAAAACTTTGAGCATTTCTAAGTTTTCCGATGTGATATGTTTCACTTTGATATGGAATTGAATGAACGAATACATAGCACGATGATATGTTCGTGTATTATATTCACGTATTATATTCAATAAGAAGCTTTATATATAGAGAGTGATGGTGCACTTTCTTCATAGCCAACAAAGTTCATATTACATTCAATGGAGTTTTGTCGTAGTACCGTTTTTGTATATTAATTTTTTATTTTCTTCTTTTTTTTACAAATCACTTGCTTATTGATTTTTTTCTTCTTTCTTTTGTTCTATTTTATATATACATATAAATCTATCAAACACTTGGGCCGATATCCATGTACGATGCAATTTTTCAACGTTGTGCCTCTATGTGCTGGCGACAAAAACAAAATGCAATTCGCTTGATAAATGTATGATCAACGCTTGTGCGCCGGTTGCCGATTCGATGTAAACCAATACAACGACAATGACACCCGACGATGTACTATACTTCGGATTAAAAAAAAAAACAACAAAAACTGGGCAAAAAACCGCAGGTAATCGATAAATCAATGCCAGTTTTCAGTAAACAATTTTACTCGGACATTGTACCGGAGAATATTGAATTACACACACCGTTGTCAGTTGCAATCCAAGCCGAAAGTCCCCTGGGCCGTAAATTAATTTATACGATCGTTAAAGGAAACGAACTTGAGGAGTTCAGCGTTGATTTTAACACAGGTATGACTTTGTGATCTCTTTTCTTCTTTCTATTTTATATTGTTTATTTTCACTGTATATTTAGCCCTGGTTATTTTGACACCAGTACTGCGATTCGATGATACAATAACCGAACAGAAGAAAAAAAAAAATCTTTGGAATATAGAACACTAGACCTATTGATTTAAGCATATTGTTAATATATAAATAAATCAATAGAGGTCTATTGTTCTACATTACATTTGGAATTGGTATTGTAGAATTGCGGCACAGTATTCGTTCCTTTGTCTTCTTTTCAATGGGATTTTTTTTTGTTCATTTTCATTTTATGTGTCTAGAAAACTGTCTTCATTTCATTTTGATTCTGTCGGTTGTGTGTTCATTGAATTTTCGAAAGCCATCCATTTTTGTCGTAAATTCTTATTTGGCTCACCTTTTCCACGTTGGTCGCTTCCTTTCTCTGAATTTGTTACCATTTTTTTTCTTCTTTAAGTCTTTAAATAAATGATGTTCGAGTAAGGTTCTTCTCCTTATGATAAATCGTACTGCAATCGCGTAAAAGTATTATTTTTTTTGTGTAGCGGGGGGTGGTAAAGAGAGATCGGAGCTCAAAGTCTTATGCATGTTAAAATGTTATATGGTAAAAATTGAACGTGTCGAATTAACCCAAAATGAATGAAAAAGCAAAAAGAAATCGCCACCACGTATTATTTACCAACCACGGAAATCGGAATGAAGTAGAAATTTTTATCCGCAAACAGATTGAAAATGTAAAACGCATAAAATATCGTGAACGCGCGCGAATCCAACTGCCCGAAATTCATGGGCCGCACTCACGCTCACCACCGACAGATATAACAATGCTAAAGCATTCGACAGAAATCGTTATCGACTGATTTATTGAGAGACTGTTTCTGTCGATATGTTTTCCGTCTTACATTGAAAATTCATTTCATGTCGTGAAATGGATTCTTTTTCATCGACGGAAATTTCATTTTTCACTTAACGCACGCCCGAATGAACGTGTCATTGTTTCCCTCACTTACATTTGGCCTAATTAAAAGAGCTTTTTGAATAGACCGGACTTATTATTTTTCTACTTTGTACAATTCCAAACCATCAGCACCACCGAATATGAAAAATGAGCGAAAAAACCATTTTCCATTTTTTTTTACAACAACAAAAAAAAATGTATGGAAAGAGCACTGACTATTATGCTATACAAATTTTTTTTTCTCGATATAATAAGTGAATTTTTAATGTCACCGATGTTGAAGTGTTTGCTAATCTTAAAAGGAGCACTGAAAAAGGTCACACACACAATTTTACCATTTCTTCGATTTATTTTCATTGAAGCGATGAATATCCTTCACAAATTGCATTCCTAACTCAACAAACTTTGGAATTGTGCGGCTGCTGCTTTTTTCTTCTTCTTCTTTGTGTATGTGTGTTTTTGGCAACAGTTCACGCGCCAAACGAGAAGCACTACATAAATATATCCTGGAGAGACAGGTTGCACGTGTGTATCGCACACACGAAGCCAGAGACGGCAGATGCCATCCCATTTTCAACTAGATAAAAAATAATTAAAATTACATCACCTGCGAAAGCACACACACACACCATCGGTCCAACGGACAATGACGAACACAATTTTCCATTTTGCAGATGACTTTGCGGTAAAGCACATATTTTCTGTTGAAAAACCAAAACGAAATTAATGTTTTGAGGAGACAATTCATGCTTTCTTCCTTGTTTCATGCGTCTTCATTTCAAAAGCGATATCATCTACTCTATCGGTCAAAAGTAACAATTTGTTTGGAAGCATTGTATTTCATGGTGTAGTGACTGTTCAATTTGGCATAAAAATCGCAGTTGAATCGACTCAAAAAAGATCGTATTGAATGTCAACCGTGTCTTCTTGTCGTTTAGCGGAGAAAAACAGTGATGAAACACATAAAACTTCTACACACTTTACTCGTTTTTCTTTAAAATGAGCTTATCACCTGAGATTCAAAATCGAATATGTGTTTAGTGTCGACATCCGTTTGTGTGTGTAGTTTAATGGGCTCTCTCGTTTTTTCGATACTGTTAAAATGTCTTTTAAATCATCCGCAGCCGTATTGTTATAACACATTTTGAAATAGGTGCATAGGTCATGCACGGCCGCCTTTTGGCATACTTTTCTTGTTGTTACTTTTTATCTTCTTGTTGCTCTTTGTTTTATCGTATTTCTGCTGTACTACTACTGCTCCAAGCGAAATTGGAGCCCTTAAATAAATACGAGTAAATTGTTTTCCGTCCGTTTTTCTTGCTTACCGACTTAAATCGTGAATGCTTCAATTCCAATCTCACTTATTTTTTCTCACTACGTGTGTGAGAAACGGTGTTGTACTCATGTAAAGCTTTTTTGCTCTTTTTTGCTGGTATTTCATCATTCGGCATGTCGACGACAGTGAATCACACTTCGCCGTTTCATAAGTTCTACTACATTCCACCAGAGTAGCGAATATAATGCTTTTTTTTTATAAAACCTAGCGCTAAATGTTTCAATGCGTATAATGTTATTGTTTTTGCTGAACGTGCCGGCTGATATAAATGTAATTTTTTCGCGTATTATTTTTTTTTGTTTCGTTTTCATTTTATTATTGCATCGTCCTTACCTTTTGCAATGTTCCGGCAAATCTTTGTGTGTGAATGATTCCAGGCGGTGAATCGTAATTTTAATCCATGTTTCTCTCTTTTTTTGTTTGAAAATTCTTGCTATTCCATCACTTGCTTAGCATTTGAGACGAAGAGAATAGCCGCTGAAATGTTATGAAACGATAAAAGGAAGCAACGAAGAAAAAGAAAAATCACAGGCGACCGAAGTAACAGGGTCCATTTGGCGAGACACACGTTTTGACCGGTTTCGTTGGAAAAATTCAATGATTTTCCACAAAATAAAGCAATTTACATATTTTTTCCATAATTTCATTCGCCGCTCTACCAACAAAAAGCATACACACACAAATACAAACACTTAACCGCGTACAGTACTATAAAAAGTCAGCATAGAATAAACAATGTGGCGTTGGAAAAATGATATTTCTTTTAGTTGGTAGAAAAAAAAACAGCCCATCCGTCGGATGCAATTCACAACGAGTAAAACAGAGAGAGAGAGAGAGAAACATGAAAAAAATTGTATCAATTTATTTTGGCTAAATTCAAAATGAAATTCTCTCGCGTATGTCACATAATTTGCGAAAGGCGGTTTTCAAAGAAATGAGTTCAAAGTAGAGACAAGTTACGGAGAGAGAAAAAATAAAGAGAAACAAAGAGAAATAAAAATGCGGCCCGGTGTAATTATAAAAATGTCCAAAGAGAAAACCAACAAGTAAGGCAACAGTAGCAAACATACGCAAAAGATGCGCGAATAAATCAAAGCAAATGGTCAATAAAATAATTTGAAAAGCTCATGTTCGCTTAGTGTGAGCCCGAAGCGTGAAACATTATTCAATTTAAAATGCATTTAGAAGCAATAAGGATATGTTCTACATGTAATTCATTCCGCATAAAAAATTTCGACTCCGTATCTGTCTGTAAATGACGTTTCGACGATGCACAAAATACAAACAATTTCGATGTATAGGAACGCGCGCGGTCTCGTGGGGGGTTAACATTTTCCATTAAAAATAGATCGGCGAGTCTAAACCACTACGCGAAATACGTAAAAAAAAAGAACCAATTAGTTTTTATTTCTGTGTGTTCAAAACTATTTATATTGAAAGTGGTGTGAATGTAAAATGAGACTAAAAACACAATATTATTTCCATTATTTTCTCGTTAAATACAGCGCCAGACAGTACAAATGGTCTTTGTGAGTATTTTTTTTCTTCATTTTTATTTTCGTGTGCGTTTTTTTTCATATTCTGCTACCCCCATTTTCATCTACCTTTCTGTTACATTTTATGTACATGTGCGTTTTTGTTTGTGAATGTTTATGTTTTTATATGTACATTTGCTTAACGTTGTTGTTGTTAATTTTAATTTATTTGTTTTTTTTTCTGCTTGATGTTTTGTTTTTTCATTGAAACTATGTTTGTGATTTTCATTCAATAATTTTCTATCTCTTTTAACGTCACGTTTATATATGTGTGTGTGTATTTTATTTACATAAATGCATTTTCTATTTGTAAAAACAAATACGACATAATGAAAATAAAACATTGGATATGCGTATTTTTATTCTTCCTTCATTTGATATTTATAAAGAGCATTAAGAAATTCGCTTTCAACACTTTTTGTGTCAATTTTTTTTCGAAAACCTTAAGTTAAAACATTCATTTGCATATGCAATGGTTTTTATGTCTGAGCATGTGTGTGTGCTTGTTTGTATCTCATATTGATATTGTATTCACTTGATTTCATTTTTGAGCTTTACTTCCATCATAACATTAATGCAATTACGTTAAATGGATTTTCATCATCATCATCATCATCATCAAACAGAAAAACACTATCAACAAATTAACACCGAACATGGAACCGTTCGTTTCGTGCATATTTACTGATCTGTTTTGTTCGGACACCATTAAATCGAAATGCATGAAAACCATCATCCTATTTCAAGCATGTCAATAGGTGTCATTCTAACCATTTTGTATTTGTTCACATTTTATTGTTCCATTGTCATTTTGTACACATCCACTGATTGACCATAATGCCTAAGTAACCAAACAGTAATTAAACTAATTGCTGAGGTGTGTATCTGTATATCCACTTAGTTTTATTGAAATAATTAGATTTGGATTTTCACATTTCTTACGGCAACAATACACAATTTGCCACACATGTGACGTTTGCATTTCGTTTGAGAAAGCGTGAAGCACATCATCATCATGGATCACAAAGTAATGCTGAAATTCCATTTCAATTAGTTAAAGGATTTGAAACAAAAATTTTTTTTACAGTTATCGAGAGTTGTAAAGTTCTGATTATTTCGACAAGAATCTCATTATATAATCCGCACATTTCCAGCAACGTATAGGACATTTGCAACGTATGCATGGGACATTTGCAACGTATGGATCGTTTTCTAGCGTCTAAATCCATGTAATAATTGAAAGAAAAAAGAATGAATTTTTCAACAATGCTACATGCAGTCATGCAATGTTATAACTATAGTCGATGAAAGTCGTTGATTTTATTCAAGAAAAACTTTATTCTTCGAGCGAAAAAGAGATAGAGAAAATGCAGCAAAAGAAGGAATAGTAGTGATTTGATGTCAATTTCTTTTTTCTCATTTTTTTGCTAGCTTCAATTCATTCAGGTAGGAAAATGCCATTTGCTGAGGATTCTTTTCATCAATTGCACTTTGTTGCGGAGTACGGAATTTCTCGAACTGATGACGTTTTGTCGGAATTTTTAATCTTTGTGAATGGACAGAAATTTCAACGTCCAAGTGGCGAATGGTGATGACGAGTCAAAATGAATCGCGCCATCTCTCATCCTTGAACATAATTTTGGTTTCATCGAAGAAGAGAGAAAACCATAATAATAATACGAGAAAACAACTATTCTAACCAGTGAGACCAGAGACTGTTTCTCAGACCAATAAATGTGAAAAGGAGCGCTCTGAGGGTCTTTTTAGATTCGATACGGCCGACTCATTTTGCCTCCTCACTGAGGAGCTGTACTCCTCATTGCTGTGCTCCCAAATTGAGTGCAGGTGTGGAATGAGAGATGGCGCGAATCAAGAATTTTCACATAAATAATAGTCTCCAAAGTCATATATGGCAAGCCAATAATAATCTCGTACAACAAAAGATTCGGCAAATTTTGAATTGAAACTGAATGCAAAAAGAAGACGAAAAATATCTATGTCTATTATAACCACTTTTACAAGTGAATTCTGACATTTCAAATGGTTCACGATAAACAATTTTACATTCTACTAGTTTGTGTTTTTTCTTCTCTACCAATTAAATTGAATTCAGTTTGCCAATTTTTATGCAATAAAATGGGACTGCTGTTTGGTGGAGTAACGTGTGTTTTTTTCTAATGTCAGTGATTTTCCAAGAGCACAGATGCGTCTATTCAATTTCAATGACAATCATATCGTATCTTCTTTTAAACGTCGTCAAACGTTCCATTCTACTCCGGCCGACGTATTTTCTTTTTTGGTTCCAAGTTTTCGCTTTCCGTCTTTTTCAATCTTTAACTTTTTATCTGATTTCACCAATCGAAAACGAAATACTTATGTGTATATTTTTATGGGCTGGTATTTTTCTGTGGGCGAATATGTTGTTCATGGAATTTATGGCCGAAAAGATGGAGATAAAAGCTCTGGAAAGTATCGTTCTCTCGTCGCGTTCATTCTGAGCCGGTTTGTGCTGCGCTGCATGCAACTAGGCCGCAATATGTACTTTCCTCTTATTTCTTTTTTCAAACTTTTTTTTTCTACTCGACAACAATGTGCAACAACTTGGCAGTGAATATGTTATTTATGTGGCTCTCTCTTTCTCTCATTATTATTTCCCTTTTTTTTGCAAAGGCATTTCAATGGCCGTGCAACATTTTTATTACACCGCACCGAACAAAATTGCTTGAATGCCTTACATGCCATGCCATTTCATTGTTTGAGGTACGAACGAAAAAGAGTGAACGATATAGAGAAAGAGGAGAAGGGGGAACGAGCAAAAACTAATGAAATTTGCAGGCAAATAGAATGCAGTAAATACACACACGAAAATACGAAAATGTGTAGAATAAAACTTGTAAATGTTCTATTGACGTCCGATTGTTGGCCGAAATTCATTAGTGTATTAGTGGATTTTCTGTTGTTTGTTGTGGTTATGAGCCTGTGTACAAATCAGGAAAAAAATGGGTCAAAAACAATGGGAATTAGAAATGAAATAACTTTTTGGCCGTAAAAAAAGTGACAAACAAACTAAATCGTCATTTTCGGAAAAATTCCCAGCCAAAGTGGAAAGTAAAAGTTTTATTAGTATTGCTAAAAGTATGGCATCTCTCGTTTCGTTTAACTGATATCTCACCGAATCACATTGAACGAAATGGAAGGAAACTCCAAAATATTCAAGCAACAGTATACCATTAATTTCATCAGATTAAACAATTCTTTTCGGTAAATTAGCAACGAAGAATATGTGTGCATCTATGTGATTTAATCGTTCTTTCGAAAATAAATGTCAATATATGTTTGCACATCGGATATTCTTTTATTATATTGAATATGCTCTCTGCGTTGTCTATTTTATTTGGTTTATACGGATTATGTGCACATCTATTAAGTCCAATTATGAATACACATTTTATCAATTTTCAAGCATCTCAAATTTTACTTTGATTCGACGTATGTTTAATGTTTCGCTTCAGCTAAACTGAATAATATCTTAAATTGATGCGATTTGTGCTGAAGCTATAATTTACACACACACTAGCTTATGCTTGAAAGTTTTTGCCTTTTTGCTTGAATTTTGAAAATGTGTTGCTAAATATAATGCATTGCATCACCAGCAAAAGAAGTCGACTATTTCGTCTGGAAAACGGCATGGATAGAAATCAGGTTCGGATATCTGTTTATGATGTTTATAGCAATGGCCTAAATTTGTATGCTCATCAACAGCCAACTACAACAATAAAGCTCTCATGCGAAAACTGTTTGAAAAGGCTCATTACAAAATTAGTCGTTTGGCACTTTTCACATTCAAACTACTTTATACTTAGTATTCTCATCCTCCGTATGCAGTGATTCAACGATCATTACGGACATTTGCGGTTCTTCTGGCCAAATAAAAAGAAACACACACATATATTCATTGACTAAAAAGCCAAAAACGGTAAGTGTCGAACCAAAATGTCGACTAAAGTTTGTACTAAAGAAAGTGTTGTGAATTTGAAAGGCACTTTTTGGCTTTCAACAAATGTTCCAAGTACACTTTTAATACTCTTAGTTATCATACACAGAAAATACGGACGGGTTTTTTTTTTTTTTTGTTAAAATACTGAAGTACATTAAACTTATATACACAAATTATGCTTTTCGAAAATTTCGTGGTAAAACTGACACTAAACAGTGTGACATTTTGGGCCAAACATCAGTGGTCTCGCATCTTGCATTAGAGGCAAATGAAATTTTCTACACCATGTTTTGGAATAAAATTATATGATTGTTCTCGGCTTAGTGAAAATTTTTGGCTACAAAATCGGCACGGAAATACCACACAATACAATAAAAAGTATTTAAAGAGACACACCAAACTTTGTACATTCATAATGAAATGATCTACGAATGGAAGCATTTTTGAGAAAAGGAGAAGAGAGAGAAAGAGAGAGAGAGAGTCAGAGAAATAACAAACAACTATTTTCGCTACTCTATTATGAGATTATTTACGAGAACTTTCCGTCGGATAGGAAACGATACGGCTAAGCTGAGTTGTTAGACTGAGAAATAGAAGGAAACAAGTATAGAGGCACATAGAAAGAGAGAGAGAGAGATTGAAGTGAGCGAAGAGATGTGAAGGAATTTAGTATTCGTCGCAACTGATTTCGAATTAACACTAAAAGTGTCGGCACTGCCGAATACCGCAGAATATCTGCTGCAATTAATTACAATAAGTAATTTTGGTGGCGCGCTTCATTTCAACTCGACAAAGTTTTAACTGGAAATTATAGATTTGATAGGAACAAGAATTACCAGTTATTTTCATTTTGGGGTACAAAAATATAACTCTTTCATTCTCTCTCTATCTCTCTCAGTTCATAGCATTGCACAGTACGACACAAAAAAGCGACTTCGCTTCCGGCTATGTTTCGGCATGCAAAGAGACTAATGAAAAGTGAATATAATAACACGAG